GTCAACGTCTTCCCGATACAGGGCATGAAAGAGTAGGGTCTTAAGAATACTAGGGCGTCGAGGGGGGCCTAGCGGCAACAGGGACACCTGGTCGCAAAGTGAAAATCGCAAATTCCGAATTCCCCCACTTTGATCAACTCGGACCCCGTACCCCGTTGCGGTCCCAGAGGAAATCGTTGGGTCCCTCCCCTTCCTCGGGGGATGAGACTGGGCGGGCTGGGGCGGGGAGGCCGCGGGAACCCAGTTCCAGGTGGCCGCCCCAAAACAGCAATTCCAGGAATGAAAGATCCCCAACGCGTTTGGGGGGAAAGTTTTAAATTTCCCCATACGGGCGGAGTGGGCTTAAGAATACTAGCCTCGGGGGGCGAGGGCGAGACGCGGGCCCCTGGCGGGAAAATTGGGAAAAACCCGGCCCCGTTGGCCCGGCCGTGCCGGGGCACCCATCCCTTTGCGGTCCACCCTTCCAAGGAGGTCCTGGCCGTCGTCCTCGTCCTCGCCATCGCGACTGGCGGGCTGGGGCGGGCTGGCCGCGCTCCCAGTCCGGCTGGCCGCCAAATAGCCTCTACACCAGGAATGAAAGATCGCACGCGTGGGTGGAGTTTACTTTCGCACGGGCGGCTCCAACGCCTCCAGCCTCGGCGGCGACGCGAGACGCGGCCTCTGGCGAAATTAGGATAAATCAGCGGTCTGGCCGGAAGTGCCGGGGAATGCCATCATTTGCGGCTCAAGCTATTTCAAGTCGAGTCAGTCCAACTGTCAGCCCAACTGCCGCCCCGGTTCGTTGCGGCGCGGCGGCGCGGCGGCGCGGCGGCACGGCCCCTTACGACGGCGACGTCGGCAACCCGCCGCGCCGCCGAGTCCGGCGGGCTGGCCTACCCGCTGCTCGTCGGGCGCTCTCGACGGAGACTGTACCGCGCGGGCCTCTCTGGCGGGGCGCAGTCAGTCACTCTGCGCGGCTCAAATTAAAATTCCGCGCCCTCGACGCGCCATTGGGCCATTTGCACAGCCCTAGTGCAACCACTCCCGCGTTTGACTCGTCCAAATTTGGGGCGGGCGCTGGTCGCGACGCCGTGGCTGCCGACGGCTGCAAACAACGATTTCCACCTCTCTGCCGCCCCCTTTCCACGTGCGGCTGAGTGGCGGGGCGGGGCGGGGTGGGGCGGGGCGGGGCCGCCCTACTCAAACAACCCTTAACGGCGGCGCCCCTCCCGACTAGGAAGGGATATGCCTCGGGTGACCCTGGCGACGACCGCCTCCCCCCCCCCTTTTCAGATCAGATTACCGCGCGACACCACTACCCGCTGCACTGTTGATCCGCTGCACTGTAAGACCGCGTGAAAAAAAAAGGGGGGGCGGAAAAGCGGAGGAAATTAAGGGGCGTAGAAAAAAGCGGAAATTGTATCGATAGGGAGGCCGGGCCTCGTGTCAGCCTGCCTGCCTGCCTGCCTGCCTGCCTGCCTGCCTGCCTGCCTGCCTGCCTGCCTGCCGTGGGTAAACAGACGCCGAAAAATAAAGGCATTCGCCCTGTCCGAAAAGTTGTTCGCTACATAAATTAAAATGGCGTAGAAGAGTGACGGCGCGGCGTTCGCCGACTGACAGTTGTAAATATTTGAGCCGGACGACGGACTGCAGGCGAGTTGTCGCTGCGCGCCGAAAATTGGAAAAAAGGACTCCGCTCTTTGCTCTGGCCGCGCGGACTCGACGGCCATGGCGGCCTGCCGGGGCTGGCAGGCAGGCGGGGCTGGCGAGGCTGGCAGCCCGGCGGGGCGCGAGAGCCAAAAGTTAGTCCTTTGGTGCGTCGGCCGCGCTGGCCCACCGGCTCACCCTCCAGCAGCAGCCAGCTACCACTTCTTGTAACACACTTCCCGTCATTTTCAACTTTTCTCTTTATGTCACACATAAAAGTGAGGAGGCGGGGGACCGGGGAGGCCTGCCACACCCCCGCTCCGTGACGCCACGCCCCGCCACGCCCCGCCAAGCCGAGACTCCTCAACTCGCCCTCTTTCCTTTTTAACGAAGTGTAACAACTTGTTTCCCCGGTCAGGGCAGGCCAGGGCACGGCAGGGCAGGGTGGCCCCCCGAGTACCGCGTGCCGTGTCGTGTGCCCCGCGGCGCGTGGATCGGCCTCAAGTCTGCCCAGTCGCTGTCCGAGACGGGAAGACTCGGGGACTCGGGGAGCGAAAAGGACAAGATTAACCCTTTTATGGCTTTGGTGACCCCGCGGCTGCTTAAAAGGTGGCTTTAAGTTTCGAATCGTTTCTTTTGTTTTATTTTGTTTTGTTTCGTTTTTTTGTTTGTTTGTATATTCCTTCCCAGAAATTACGTATTCCCTTTAGAATGCCACGCCGTGAGCAATGGGCAGTGGCCACCCACACGCATTGCCGGTGAAAATGCGCTGCGCGATAACACACACACACACACACACACACCTCTGAAAATACACACACGCACACACACAGACTCACCGACGCACACACTCGCCACGTTTCACTTCTCCTCCATCGCTCTTGTCATCGCTCCATAAATATATTTATAAAAATTCAGACGGAATGTAAATGCGTCCGCGTGCGGGACACGCCCGTGACAGTCTTTTTATTCACGACCGCGTGACGTCGCCGCGTGTGGCGGCCGGCCAGGCGCCAGGCCTGGGCGTTCGTCGCTCTGTCTCGCTCCCACCCGCACGGGTAGCCCCGTGAGGGGCGAGGGAGACAGAGCGACGACAGCGGCGCTTCGAAGCGCCTGCAGGAGAGGTAAGCGGATTGCCCTAAACTGCCCCCTTCCCCTCCCCCCTCCCCCCTCCTCCCCCTGCCGCCATCTTGGCCCCTCTCTCGGATCACCGCCCTTTCCCTCCCATTCATTCCGATCCCTGGAAGCTCTATACTGTACGAGGTAAAATGAGAGAGCCAAATCGTCTTGTTTTTCTTTTCCCTTCTGTTTTTTCCGGCCGCGTTGGTCTTACCTTTTTTCTCTCAGTTTTTTGCCCCTCTTGACGACGATGGCTCGTTCATTACCTGTGCACCCGACCGCCTGGCTGATTCCATATTGGCTCCCCCCCCCTTCAATTCCCTGCCCGGCAACCTGGAAGAGCCGGGAAAGGCGGAAATATGAGGCGCGTTCATTGGAAGCGGCCGAGCGTATTCAACAAGCAGGTGCCATAAGACGGTTACACTACACTCAAAGCGCCGTGTTTCATAGATGGCGGATGGTTTTGGACTCATCGACCATCCGCCAGTGTACGCGCCAGTGTAGACGGCCGGGATGTGTCAACCGGAACGGGCTGCCGAGCTGCTCGAGTCGAGGCGAGGGCACGGTGATGACGTCAGCTGTCACCCTGCCACCTCTCTGGCCGCGGTCTGGTGCATTATGCAGTGTGGTGGCCATCTCGCAGCCTGATTACGGTGCACTTGTGACGCACGTGGCTCTACGGTGCAGTAGCCCATCATTGTCGGGCCTTAACTTCGGGCCCAATCCTCCGAACGTTGTGTCAGATCTTTCTCATCAATGTCACAGCGAACCTTTAACCTTTAAGGCAATAACACAACCGCCCCCTTACCCCGGAAAGAAAGTGCAATATTTCGGTCAAGTTTCTCGATAAGGTTGCCTTTATTGCCGGCAATCTACCGATGAGGTCCACGTCGTCATCGTCGTGGCCGTCGTCGTGGTGCCCGCAGGGGAGAGCCGCCCCGGCCCGCCACCGCCACACCGCACCCCGCCGTACCTACTTCAATCCATCCGCTTTTTACGAGGTTCGTCCCTATCACTCTGAGAGCCGGCGCACACGGCACTGTGCTGGTGCACTAGACTGCAGAACGCACCAACACACACGCCACACGCACACACTCACACACACACACACACACACACAAGCTGAGTGCCACTCGATTTGCATGCGTATCGCCCCCAGGCCCAGGCTTTTCTGGTGATGGTCAGCGCGGTGGGGCCGCGGCATGGCACGGCCACAACAAGTGCCGAGCGGGCTTCCGCCATGCCCTGCCAATGCCTGGCATTGCCACGGATTTTGAAATTCAGTCAAGGCGCGGCTGAGGGGACTACGCGCGCCTGCGTGTGTGTGTGTGTGTGTGTGTGTGTGTGTGTGTGTGTGTGTGTGTGTGTGTGTGTGTGTGTGTGTGTGTGTGCCATTGGCTGCATGGTTAACTAAGCCGGCCAGAATCGGCCGCGTAATGTCGTTTTCACACGTCACTATTCAGGTCGACGTACGACTTCCTTCTTCTTCTTCTTCTCCTTCTCCTCCTCCTCCTCCTCCTCTTCCTCCTCCTCCTCCTCCTCCTTTGGCGTGCTCTCTGCAGAGAAATAAAGAAATGAAAGCAAGCGCAGCCTTGATGAAGCCGTGTACAAACATAAACAAAACTCGCATCGTCGGGGCCACGCGTCGCCAGGGGTATCTCTTGTCCGCGCTCCGCGCTCCGCGCCCGGCAGCCGCCACCACAGCGCACCGCAAGCACCGCAGCGGCGCGCAAGTTTGAAAAGGAGAGTTGGAAAGAGCAGGGTGTGACAACGCGGTGCCAGCGCAGCCTGCGCAGTCTGCGCCTGTTCCAGGGGTGCAGGTCGCCTGACACAGTGATTGATATGGTTAGCCTCACACACGTCGCTCCACGATCCATCAGCCTTTGTCCCCCCTCCCCTCCCGCTGCGCTGGGAAGGGTGGGGGGTGGGGGGCGTTGAAGAGCGGCTTCGTGTCACATCTCTATCACACAGCAGGGCGTCATACAGTGGAGGGTCGCGGCTGCGGGGAAAAGATAGACTACTTTTGTAGGCTCGCCACCTACACCCACACCTTCACACAGACACTGCTCTCACACACACGCGGGCGCCACACTGTACGCACACACTCAAACAAGCCTAACTTTCCGCGCGGGGCTGGGAGAAGGTCGAGGTGCCCCGGGACTTTTGCTCATGCGAAAAGTTGGTTGACAACTCGCACCGCCATTCGCGGCCCATCAAAGTGACGCGAAGGTGATGTCTGTCTCTCTCTGTTGCAGGCGCGTGCCCGGTGCAGATCACCCACCTACGCGTGCCGCAGTACGTCGCCAACGGGTCGCACGCCGCCGTGCTGGACTGCGAGTACCAGCTGGGGCCGCGGGAGAGCATCAACGCCTCCGGCCTGGTGGTCAAGTGGTTCTTCAACGACGGGCCCGCGCCCGTCTACCAGTGGATCCCGCCCAACCGGCCGCAGGACCTGGGCCTGCTCAAGGGCCGCCTGGACCTCTCCTACCAGGCCTCCAAGCTGAACGCGTCGCGGCACCGCGCGCTCTACATCCGGAACCCCACCACCGAGCTGTCCGGCGAGTGGAAGTGTCTCGTGTCCACCTTCGACGACGAGGACTTCATGACCAAGAAGATGGTTGTCTATTGTGAGTACGGCACTGCCAAACAACACTGCCAACAAAAAAATAAATCCCAGCTTCGGGTTATCTTATCCCAGCGTCACGGGACGGCGGTGCACTTAAATTTCTATGAATTCGATATCCTCACTTTGACGCCGAACGCTCCACGAGATACAGCCCGCTGACATTAGCATACCTGTTAAGTTGGCAGCACGTCCTTTGACACCACATCGCGTCCCCACCACGCGTGCGCGGCGCGGCGTGCGGCACTGTTTGCCTTCTGGTGGCGTGGCGTTACCCGCGAGCGCTCTTCGACCCCGTCAACTAGTTGCCCAAACTTGGCCCGTGTGTTTGAGTGCAGGCTGTGCGGTGTAATAATCCGGCACGTTGGTAAACCTGCGACTGTCTAACCTAACCCAGATAGAACACACTACTCTGCGCGTGGCGGGAGTGTCGCTGCTGCCAACCTGGCGGCGAGGTAAAAAATAAATTTAAAAACAGAGTTACGTGTTTCGTGAACGAGGGGCCTTATTTGGAGGCGTGGTGGCGCGCAGATAGGCTGGCCGGCGGTGGGCTGGCGGGGCTGGCCAACAGGCCGAAGGGGCCCGCAGCGTTCGGGGCGGTAAACAAGGAGGGAAGGCCAGTTCGGCCGTGGGGCTGCCGTAGGGCTGGCGGGGCGTGGCGGGGCGTGGCGGGGCGTGGCGGGGCGTGGCGGGGCGTGGCGGGGCGTGGCGGGGCGTGGCGGGGCGTGGCGGGGCCGGCCGCTACAATCTCTCCGGACCAATTTCGCCTCCTTTCCAAAGAGCCGACCAATAAGCGAGGCCGGTCAAGCGGTAGCGGAATGGAGGGAGGGGGCCGTCGCTAGTTCCCTCGTCACGGCGCCGAGCGCGGCGAGCGCGGCGTGGCCCATTTCGGCGCGTCCGTTTAAATAACCAGGTTTGCGCGCGCGGCTCGGAGCAAGCTCGGGGCCCATTTCCGGATGACGCGGCGCGCGGCGAGGCGGAAGCGAACCGCTGCGGCGTGGAGGCTGCGGCGTGCTGCGGCGTGCTGCGGCCCGCAGAGGAGGAGAAGGAAGGCCGCGGCGACGACAGAGGGCCGCCATTTGGAAACACGGACTTTGCGCTCTCGTTTGGACCAAGAAAAAAAACAGTTTCTGTCCAGTTTTTTTTTTTTTTAGAAAAATAGATTTTTTAATGCTTTTAAAATTTGTTTTTGAAAGTTACGTCAAGTCAGAAAAACCATCTCTTTTTTTAATAATGATTGTCTTGAAATGAATTTAAAACACCTCCCCCTCCTTGTGGAGTTTTGTTGAAAACTATGCGGCTCTGAACTGATGTAGTTGGTGCGGCCAAAAGTCAGAATTTTGCTAGCCACTTTGAGCCCCTCCGCTCACATCGCAGTGGAGTGGGGGATGTAAAATTCGGAAATAATTGGGGCGTGGCGGTGCGGGCGGTGCCTATCCTGCGTGTAGTTCGGGGCGTGATGGTGCCCCTTATCTGGGCCGGGGCTTCATCATCGCTAAGAAGGCTTAGCAGTAAACCGGGCTAGTGTCGTTTCCACGAGTGGCGCGTCCGAGCCGAGCCCAAGGCGCCCAAGGCCGGCGCGTCGCAGGCGGAGCCGAGCCCGGGCCGCAGTGACGCGCTCCCCCAGGGCGTCGCTGTGGCTGCTGGCAGCATGCTGGCAGCGTGCCGGCAGCCCGGCCGGGTTCAAAGCGTTGCAGGTCTGCATCGGAAGGCGTGCGTTAACCACCCTGCGGGCGGCGTGTACCCACTATCCGGGGTAACATTTCGGTACCCACTACGAGGGGTTAACATTTTGGGACCCTCTATCTGGGGACAGTATTTTGGTACATCAGGTGGTAACATTTCTGAGGGTACTATATTGATACTCGCTACCTAGGGGTGCCCTTTTGCTACCCACTTTCTGGACGTGCCATTTTAGTACGTTCCATCTGAGGGTACCATTTTGGTGCTCAATATCGCGCACAACATCCTCGTACTCTCTAAGGGTTGAAATTCGGCACCCTCCACCTGGGGGTAACATTCCGCCAGCCACTTTCGCCGTCTCGGAGTGGTGTGCCCTGCGAGTGCCCTGTTGCTCCCACATCGGCGGGGCCCGGCGGCATGGCAGGGCTCGGGCATATTATTGAGGTAGATGCGACACGCCCCCGCGAAGCGCCACTGGCACACCTGGCGACTGCGTAACTACTGCGTGCTGCCGCGTGCCACTGCGTGCTACTGCGCATCCCTGGTTAATGGCCCCGTTAACTGCATCCACAGCGAGGGCAGCCTCGCCGCGGGCGGCGCGCCGTGGCGGTGAGGGGCGTTGACAGGCAGAAAAAGGAGGGTGGTCGTTGTTGTGCTGCGCTGCACACAGAGGGCACAGAGGGCCCGCACCGCGCTGCCGCACCGCCCTCACGGCGTATTCGCAGTCCACTCTGCTGCGGATAGTGCGCCTACATGCAAATGAGTTTATTAAAAAGAAGAGCCGCCGCCCAGATAAGACTACCTTAGTTCATTCCGCGCTCACATAGCGCCACCTGCATGTTTGCACGACCAACTCATGCATAATTCACTTTGGGGCGGGGAGAGTCTAGAGATGCGTGAGTGTGTGTGTGCACCCGTTTAGTGCTGGTGTGTGGGTGTGTGTTTGTGTTTTTGCGATCGTGCGATTCTCTGCCCCCTGCGCCGGTGGGAGGAATTGAACCCTGGCCAGCTCTGTGAAGAGTCCCCCTCCCCTCACACGCACGCGCGCGCGCGCGCACACACACACACACACACACACACACGTACTCACACACGCGTGTGCGTCAAAGCGTTTGCAATAGATTGTGATTGATGGAGAGCCATTGGAAGCTGGGCATTCAACGGATGCTTCTAGTTTTCGTGTGACACCCCTCGTCGGCGCTCCAGGCCGCTCCAGGCCGCTCCAGGCCGCTCCAGGCCGCTCCAGGCGTGCCCTTGCCGCCGCGTCCACACGCCAAATTTGTGTCAGGCTTTTTTGTGCGTCCATCAGCCAGCGGCAAACCCACAGCGCGGCCTGCATGCCCGTCCGGCCGGTCCGGAAAGGGGGAGGGGGTGGGGGTCCCCGTCGGACCCTCCCCTGCGGGCTCGCCGCTTGCCAGCGATAGCCGCTCCGGACGTCCTGCAGCCAGTGGTGCGTTTGGTGATGGGGCGTGGTACCAGTACCACGCCGCACCGCGTGCGCGCTGGTGATTGTCCCGGGTGAATATGCCGGCCGGGGCGGCGTGGTGTTGGCGTTGGCGCCGAGGTCCAGGCCCAGGGCGAGCTCGGAGGCGGTCAGCACCGCAAATCCCGAGGCGCGTCCGTCCGTGGAGACGACCATCGGCAGCGAGGCCAGGCGACGCCAGCACGCCAGCTCGGAGCGGGGAGGCTGCAATCTGTCCGGATGGCGCTGTGGCGAGGCCGGGCGAGGCCGGGCGAGGCGCCCAGCGCTCGGGGCTCCGGGGGGCTCCGGGCTCGATGACGGAAGCAGGGCCCCGCGCCCCGCTCCTCCAAGTTGGCGGAGGCGAAGCCCAGCGACGCGCGGCTGCCTCCCGGCCCCGTCAAAAATGATTGAAAAAGGGGGCCGAAATCGCGCGCGCGTACGGCTCGCCGGTCTGCATGCTAGTTGACGAGGACGAGCCGGCGAGATGAGGGGGTCGCCCCGCCCCGCCCCGCCCCGCCGCTCCGGCTCGGCGTTAAATTTTCCGCGAGAAGTTTGATGGAAACCGCCCGACCGCTCGACGTCGCCCTCACCCCGGCCGGCCCGCTGTTGTTGTTTGGCTCCGGAATCTGAGGGACGAGGAAATGGCTGCAAGGGAGGCGGAGGAGAAGAAAAACTACAACCCCGTCCCGTCTCGCTGCCCGGCTTGGCCCCGCTCGGCCCGGCCCCGCGATGTGTGCACGCAAGACTATAGCTCTGCCAGCGCAGCTCCCTTCCGACGCAAACTTTGCTCGTTACATTTTTGCAAACACTTATGATTCGGCAATAAAATCCAACTACATTTTGATGATGGAAGTTTTTATCCGGCGCCCCGATGGGCCCTAAGCGATAATAGTGATGAACCCCATTTGGGCGGGAAGCAGGCGAAGCGGGCGCTGAACGGAAGCCTGCCTTAGTGCAAAGTTTGTGCGAGCGGTTCATGCCGCCACCGCCACTTTGCCGGCTAGGCGTCCGCGTCTTCCTGGCGACCAACAACACTGTTCTTCAACGAACGTGACGTCACATTCGTTAGAATGTGAATTTTGTCACGTTCGTTTGAATGTGATGTCACATTCGTTTGAATGTTGATCCACACTTAAACGAATGTGACACCCGCATCAGACGGCCGCATGATGGCCGAGTCACGTTCAAACGAATGTGACATCACACTCAAACGAACGTGACAACATTCACATTCTAACGAATGTGATGTCACATTCGTTGAATAACAGTAAAGGAAAACACCCAGCAAGCCAGGTTGGGCTACATTTTCCTGTTAGTATCGATTCCACGGTGCATCGAATTTCGTCCCCCAACAAGTGGGGTCCTGTATCGCAAGTGAGGGCTCTATTTCAAAACCAACTCATTATTCTAAAAAGAAAATATCAAGGTTGTTGTTCGACAGAAAAAGATGTCCTGATGTTTTTCCATGTCGCATTTCTATTTTTCCTCTCATCCCAACCGAGTCCGGTAAATCCGTGCACGGCTGTCGGCGCTTGCACCGCGCGTTCTGGCCGGCTGACCCATCGTGACCTTCCAGCCGGATCACGACACCGCAGAAGGTCGAAAATGAATAAATCACTGACCAATCCCTCTGACCCGTGCTGAAACTCCTGTATTATAGATGCTGCCGGGCGCGGAGCGAGAGAGAGAGTGGAAGAGAGGGAGAGAGAGAGGTGAGGCGCGCGGGAACAGGGAACGCCGCGCCGGAAAAGAGTAGTGGTCGCGATTCTCCATGGCGCTCGCCCACACACACACACGCGTGCGCGCACTCTTGCGCTCTCTCTCTCTCTCTCTCTCTCTCTCTCTCTCTCTCTCTCTCTCTCTCTCTCTCTCTCTCTCTCTCTCTCTCTCTCTCTCTCTCTCTCTCTCTCTCTCTCTCTCTCTCCCCACACGTGCCCCTTCTCAAAGCTACTGCCCCACCTCAGACGCCTCCTCGACTCGACCCAGGCCGTGGCAGGCCATGGCAGCCCCGCAGACTGATGGCTCGGACGTGCTACACTGGACGGGGCTGCCAAGGCTGCCCGCTGCGCCCTGCCCCTTCCATCGGGGCTGCCAGATTATAGGGGCGCTGGTTGACCGTGCAATGCACTACCACAGCGTACGGCCGCACGGCCCAGCAGGTGCGTCGCTGCCGACAGCTGGCCGCCACACTGTGCACAGCCGTGCCGGGATTAGCCCGCTCGATGTGGTTCCGATATCGATGCAAGCCCACACACTCGCTGCTGCTGGAGAAGAGAGGGAGGTAACTTGGATAAAAAAGCAGTGTGTCTGGCAAAACAGCAGGGGCGCCCGATACCGAGTTTGATGGGTTCTGCCTCATTCTGCTGACCACACAGCACCTCGCGGCGCCTGATATTGCACATCCGTGCTGCCGGGGCACTTCCGGTCAGTTTCCGTCGTGCCTCGCCACACCCTCGTCGTGCTGTCTCTCTCGCACCTACACGAGAAGCCGCTTGGGTGCGAGAGAGACAGAGAGACTGCCCCGGCGGCGCAGCGAGGGCCGTTGAAGCGAGAAGCGGAGTTAACATCCACTGCCTCCCCGGGGAGGAGGAAGGGGAGGCTGACGGGGAGGTGCAGAGGACGCTCTTTCGGCGGCGCGTCGCGGTTGCTTGAGTTCGCGAGCTGAGCGGCGCGGCGGCACCGAAGAGACACCGAAGAGACACCGAAGTGACACCGAAGTGACACGGTGCGGTCGCGTCGTCTGCAGGAGTGTCTGGCGTTGTGGCGGCTAGACTGGGATGACGCGCCCATCCTGTCTCATTACATGGCCCTCAGTGCACCACACTGTTCCAAGTCGATCCGATGCACGACGTGGATCCGGTGCACTGCAAAATGCTTTGCAGACCGGACGCGGAGTTGGCGTTGGCAGCCCCTGGCTTTTTCTTCGCTCCCTCGATGCCTTTTAAAAACTTTTGTTTTAGCTTCCAAACTTGTTGAACTTTTTATTTGGCCTGCTCTGTGTACCTGCGATCTTGGAGTCCCCCTTCCCCCTCCCCCCCTCCCTCCCGGCCGACGTACTGCGTCCGGGGGGCCAGAGGCGTGTCTATGTTGACCGCTTTGCGTATATCCCGGCGAGCCCCCGCAGTCGGTCCTGGGGGCCGGCTGCTCTAATCTGTTAATGTGTCGGCCGCTTCGACCGCGCTTCGGCCACACATTGTTTCGACTTCCACCCCCGGCCCCTCCACTGCCCCGCCGCCTCACTGTCGCACGGAGAAGCACTCTCGGTGCTGCTGGGTGGACGGGGCGGTGGCCAGGGGTGGCCCAGTCAGGCGCTGCCGGCAATACGGGCGCCTCTCCGCGCTCAAGAGGCCGGGCCGCCTCTCGAAAAAGTGACGGGAAACTGTACGCAAGCAATTACAGCGGCGCCCTACACCGTATTTTTCGCGCGCAACGTCCGACGGGCATCCCGACGGGCATCCCGCCGCCCTGGCGGACGTCCTGTTGCCGTCAGGGCCTTCTCCGTTTTAATAACGCCCACCGTGCCCGCGCAGTACGGCACCAATAATAGTGACATGAGGGATGCTGGGGCGCCACGCCGCGCCGCGCCACGCCACGCCCCGCCCGGCGGGGGGCGCGCTCTCTCTCACGCTCCCCCGGCCATGAAGGAAGAGCTGGCGCTACTTCAGCCCGCTGTCTTCCGTGCAATTGCCACGATTACTGCTGCCCGCGTCGCGACGCCCCCCCCCCCTTTCCCACCCTCTCCAGCAGCTGGCCGTGTGAGCCCGCAATAATGAACTCATAATTTCTAATGACGTGGTGGTGGCGCGCTGTGACGAGGCGGCATTTGAATCGAGCCCTTGTTGTTTGGTGTTCCAGCCTACGAGAAGCAGTTCGAGTTGACGCAGAGCCGGCCCGGCCACGAGGAGGCCGTCAACATCACGTGTCGCGCCGCCGGCGTCTACCCGGAGCCCAAGATGGCGCTACTGCGCGGCGGCGAGGAGGACAGGTACTTGGTGCTTCCGGGGTGAGCCACCCGATAACGACATTCCGACGTTTTCCGCTGTAGCTGCGATGTGTGTGCAGTGCCTCGCTGTAATAATGCACGGGTCCATTAGGTTAATGAACGCCAAACACACACGAAATAAAAACGGGAGTGGGGCGCAATGTATGCTTTTAATGCATTCGCGTGTTTTTTGTGCGCCCGGGGACCGCGGCGCTACAAAAACAGCTGTCCCCTTTCCGACAATGCCTTGGCCCCAGGGCTCGTAGGGATGTAAAAATACCGGTAAAATTCAAAGTTACGTAAATAACGGTAAAATACGGTATTTTACCGTATTATACGGTATATTTGGGTAAAGTAAAATTTTATCGTTTTGATCCACTTTGCTGCGATACAGCTTCAAAACTAAGGCGGCTAATCACACTCCGCAGCAAAGGTGTTCTAAAGGAAGGCCCAAAGACCACCCACCCGTTGGAGGAGAGCGATTAGCCGCCTTAGATTAGACGCAGTGGCTGCCCAAAGTCAGCCCAAACGACGATTTCTACACATTTGATACCGTTTTGACGAACTTTGCTGCAATACCTCTCCCAAACTAAGGCGGCTAATTGCACTCCGTAACAAAGGTGTTCTAAAGAAAGGCCCAAAGACCAGCCACCCGTTGGGGGAGAGCGATTAGCCGCCTTAGATCAGATGCAGTGGCTGCCCAAAGTCAGCCCAAACGACGATTTCTGCACATTTTATGCCGTTTCGACAAACTTTGCTGCAATACCGCTCCCAAACTAAGGCGGCTAATCGCACTCCGTAACAAAGGTGTTCTAAAGAAAGGCCCAAAGACCACCCACCCGTTAAGGGAGAGCGATTAGCCGCCTTAGATCAGACACAGTGGCTGCCCAAAGTCAGCCCAAACGACGATTTCTACACATTTGATACTGTTTCGACAAACTTTGCTGCAATACCGCTCCCAAACTAAGGCGGCTAATCGCACTCCGTAACAAAGGTGTTCTAAAGGAAGGCCCAAAGACCACCCACCCGTTAAGGGAGAGCGATTAGCCGCCTTAGATCAGACACAGTGGCTGCCCAAAGTCAGCCCAAACGACGATTTCTACACATTTGATACTGTTTCGACAAACTTTGCTGCAATACCGCTCCCAAACTAAGGCGGCTAATCGCACTCCGTAACAAAGGTGTTCTAAAGGAAGGCCCAAAGACCACCCACCCGTTAAGGGAGAGCGATTAGCCGCCTTAGATCAGACACAGTGGCTGCCCAAAGTCAGCCCAAACGACGATTTCTACACATTTGACACCGCTTTTTTCAAAATTAACAATAGTTTCAAAATTACTAAAAATACCAATTTTACCGGGGCCTGCGTAACATACCGTATTTTACCGTAATTTACCATTCTTTACCGGTAATATTACTTGCTCTTACATCCCTAAGGGCTCGTTGTCGGACACGGCCTGGTGCATGACGATGAAGGCCGGCGGAGGCGGCCAAAACTCTAGACGCGTTTTGAGCTCCAGAGTCGCTGAACAGGCCTCGAACCGGACGTGTGACCCGACCAATGGATTCCTCGTTCGAAGAGCAATCCATTGGTGGGGTCACACGTTCGGTTCGGGTCACATGTAGCGACTATGGAGCTCAAAACGCGTCCGGGATTTCGACCGCCTCCACCGGTCTTCTGGCCCACTGTCAGCCACTGTGTGACGGCCTGCTTCCTTTGCAGCACGCGTCCGCGCCGCTCCGCCGTCCTGCCGGGCGTGTCCGTGCACACGCACGCGCGCTCCGGCGCCTACGACATCGTGGCCACCAAGGTGCTGGACCAGGAGGAGCTGGCCACACCGACCATCCTGACGTGCGAGCTGCGCGTCCCCTCCACCAACTACACGCGACTCAAGAGCCTGGTCTACTACCCCGGTGAGCACCGCGCCTTGTGTGGCGTCACTGCACTGCGAAGCGAGTCATGACGCTCCGTCTCTGTTGCAGGCAAACTCAACTACCCCTACAGCAGCGAGTCCGCAGGTGAGTCGAGCGAGACGCCTCGCGTTACTGCCGCCTTTTACGCCCCCAATTTGTCTCGACAAGGCGCCCCTTTTTACAGCTCTTCATCGGACCGTCTGTTCGACTCACACCTCTTCTTATTTCGACTCCTCGTGTGTCCTTCGCCCACTCTCCCTCTCTCTCTTCCCCTTGGGCATGATTGGGGGTTCGCGTGTGTGATCCAAGGGTTAGGGAAGGGGGAGTCATGATGACACGAAGTAGTGTCACTCGCCCGCTTGTTCTCTGTCTGTGAAGGGGGGGGGGGTGGCAGTCTCTGTGTGGGTGTGTACGGGGGCGGGCGTCCAGTGTGCACACATCAAACCCCTCGTGCGATTAATAAAATGCACAAGGTGATGGACATTCCGGGCCAGCTAACACGTTTCACGAGTCAGCCCCCACTTAGTGCGCGAGTGTGTGTGTGTGTGTGTGTGTGAGAGAGAGAGAGAGAGAGAGAGAGAGAGAGAGAGAGAGAGAGAGAGAGAGAGAGTGAGTGTGAGTGTGTGTGCACGGGAGGGCGCGGGCGTCCCCTGAATTTCGTGACATCCGATTCCCCAGGCTGCCTCGTCAGGCACGCCACGCCACACGCACCCCCGCTGTGTGGCGAGTGTGTGCGTGCGTTCGTGTGTGTGCGTCTGTGTGCGCCCTTACGTCGTACCAAAAAAAAAGGAGGGGATGGAAAGCAAAACAAAGCCGACAATGCATCCCTGAAGTCCTCTTTGGCTGCGAAGCGCTGCGAAGCGCTGCGAAGCTCTGGGAGGACTGCTTTGTCCGGCCGTGCAGCGACGCGCGCCCTTTGACAGCGTTGTCCTTTTCTCTGTCCTCGTCTTGTTTCCGTTTTTTCGTCACCGTTTTTTGCTTACCTTTTTTTTGGCGACCGTCGAAAATGAATGTACGGCGGCAGTAATCCGGGCTTTATTTTGCAATCGGTGGGGCAGTAATCGCGGGGAGTACTAATTGAGCAGTGGGGTGCCCTGCCCGGCCCTGCCCGGCCCTGCCCGGCCCTGCCCGGGGCGCTACATCGCGCGGCGGACCTTTTCAGGGCGTGATCCTCTTACCGGTGCCACATTAAACGACGCCCTCGCCTCCCTGCGTAAGCATGCGGCAAGGAACGGAACAATAATTTGCCCGGAAAAGTTTCCTCGGAGATGGGGAGGGGAACGCGCTAAGGACAGCTTTGATCACCAATTTCGATAGTAATGCCCTATCGCGGAATCAGCGAACCAGAAGTGGAGTGGAAACATAGGGCGTGTCGTGCGGTTTGACAAGAATTTGCGGCCCGCAGCGAAACTGCGCCGCGCCGCCGGGGAAACGTCCGGCGAATGCATGGTTTATTCAACGGGAAAAATTATCATAGAAATGAATAGCCTGACATTCCGTCCGCGGTGATAAAGCAATGAATGGCGTCGACCGGCGTTGCCACCTGCACCGCAAAGTCTTCGAGACCGTTCGACCGCCGCTCTGTCAGCGCCACCGCGCGGACCGACCCCGCGGGGAATCATCAGCGCCGCCAAACGGGCCGAGAAATGGCGCCAAAAAGTTGGCCTCGCGGATCCATGACGCCACGGCCAGGCGCGGCCAGGCAAGGCAAAGGCAGCCCCATTTGCTCAACTTGTTAACTTTCCGGCACAACAAGGATTGAATTTGGGCGCCTGGAACTGGTGCTAACGACGCTAATGAAATGTAAGCGATGGCCGAGGCGCCGAGGCCGCGGCGAAGGATGCCGTGGAGGCCGTAGGGCTGATTGCTGGTGCTGTCTTTGTGGCCTCGGCTCATTTACGGCGAGGTCGGCGTGCCGAACACCGCACAGTGGGCCAGAGGACCGGTGCAGGCGGCCAAAACTCTGGACGCGTTTTCAGCTCTAGAGTCGCTAAACGGGACTCGAACCGGACGTGTGACCCCACCAATGGATTCCTTGTTCGGAGAGCAATCCATTGGTGGGGTCACACGTTCGGCTCGAGTCCTGTTTAGCGACTCTGGAGCTCAAAACGCGTCCGGGGTTTTGACCGCCTCCACCGGTCTTCTGGCCCACTGTGCACCGCCAAGGATACTGCAGTTGCGCGACAAGGATGCCGTGGCCGTTCACAGTGTTGGCCGCTAATGCCTCGCTCATTTCCTCATCGTGCACCCCGTGGCGCGGAGGGTGGGGAGGGAGGGGCGCGGAGGCGGCGGCAAAAGGAGGGCGCGAGACCCACTTATATCCCGGGGCCAGACACGCCCCTCCCACTACAAGCTACATCCAAGGTGTTCCGTCTCCTGCCGGATGCGGGGGAAATAGCTTGGTCTTCTTGGCACCGCGGGGGCGCGGTGGGGTGGGTCGGGGCGGGCGGGGCGGGGCCGCGGCGTCACTGTCGATAGTGGTAGCGACGCCTCGCCACAAATCAAGCGGCAGGGCGTGCACACAGTGCACCGTGCACACAGTGCGCCCACAGGCCCGGATCCAGGTCGCACCTTTGGCCCCACAGGCCAGGCGTACTTACCTTCCGTCGGCCGGGGCTCCGCTCGTTCTTCCAGTGCAGGATGGATCAATTATTTGCCCCAAGCCCCAGCGAGAGGGGGTATGACCTTGTCCCCACTGAGCTCCTCCTGCTCCTCGGGGACCCCTTCTCCTCTTTGTTTTTGTGGCGCCGCGTGCGTGGAGCGGAGGACCAGTTGGCCGCTTCTCACGCCGTTCCCTTCGATTCTGTTGCAGATTCCGCCTTCGCCCAGCGCCCCCTCGTCCGGCTCTTCTGCTCCTGCCTCGCCGTCTCAATCCTCTCCGGGTAAGCGAGCCCTCACATTCACATTGGCGGTCACATTCACATTGGGGCTGGACTCTACTCCCGTTCTCTGTCCGCAGGCTGCTCGCTTGAACGTGGACGGGACGAGCCAGCAGCAGGCTTCAGCACCGCAGTGCTGTCACAGAGTGCCAAGGTCAGGGGGCCCCCTTGCTCCGCCTTGCTCTGCAAGAAACCTGACCAGACGGAGCGACCGGCGACGAGACTCCAGTCAACTAGTGATATAGTGACAGTGATAGTGAAGGAAGGAGGCCACTGAGAACCAGTCATATTGTAATTTAGTTCCTTTTCGTTTCGGTGGCCGTGGGGTGAATCAAGTGAGTGCCTTGTGCGAGGGTGTGCTTGCGTCGGTGAGTGTGTGTGAGTGTGTGTGTGTGGGTCAGCGAGTGTGTGAGTGTGTGAACGGAGCAACGGACGTAGGTGCGGCCGACGGAAGATCGCAGTGTGTTGCCTGAGTGGATTGGATCCGGCTGGAGAGAAGAGCGCCAATTAACTATGTTAGTACCTAGTGACTATTGGAAGAATTACTTTTTTGGGAGGAGTATTTTTTCCCTTTTGTTTTTATGTTAAAGAGCGTCTTTTATTGGGCAACAAGTACAACCGCGTCATGTAGTCGTTATTATACCCAAGTGCACAAGTGTTTTCTTGTGTATGAGTATTTGAGTTCTTACCTCGGCTGTGATAGCACAGTTACACAATTATTATTATTTCATACTAAATGATTTTGTGTGACTAATGTCAAAGTGTCAAATGTGTTCTTTTTTATTTATCTTTTTTTTAAATTCCTTTGCTTTTAAATGTATAGACTACAAACTTCAATTGCGTTTCACTCGAATGCATTCTTTGTTTGGCTCGCTGATATTTTTTTTTATGTATGGTAAATGTTCTTGATCAGTGTATCGCGCATAGAAAGTCAATTTTGAGAGCACAAGTCATGTCAGTAACATCTGTACGATCTAAGTCATTTGCCGTTCCGTAAAAGTAGGCCTGCAATATGCGAGTAGCGTTTTGCTAGAAACTCGAAATTGACATAGACTGAACTGCTCTGTGGGGACAATAAAGGTCTCATAAAGATTAAATATTTTACCAATGCATTATATCTACCTTACAGTCACAATGTTTATGTTAAGTTTAGTTCAAACATAGGTCTTTTTTATTTCTTTTTTCCAAGAAAAGGAAAAGCTGTAAACTTAAGCCAAAGATTCCAACCAAACTGTAGTCATGTATGCATGTGGCATACTAAAAAACCACCAACTCTCTTACTCTATGTATATATCTCTCTTTGGTTGTTGTAAATATAATTGTGTATTATCATTGTTGATTATCTTTTTCACCCCTTTAGGCGTATTCAAAGTTTATGCTAAATGTATGTGCGAGAGACTGCTGTGCTTGAAAGTGATTGTACGGTATTAAAAAATTATGAAAATCATTTTGTTTTTACAAAAATAAATGAAAAAACAAAACACGTTGTCCGTTTATCGAAGAAACAACCCCGTCCTAAAACCCACAAAATAAGAAAAGGGAGGGAGGAATCCGACTAAAAAAAAACACGTGGGCTGCAATAACAAGCGGATCAATCAAAAACAGGAACGCGTTACGAGGGCGGCCACTTATTCCCTGACAAATTGGGGGATCTGAAACTCACCGGTGACAGGAGGGAAAAAAGGCAAATGTCGTTGCACTATTTATTTGGTGCGTTGCGTGGGCCGGCGGAGTGAAACGGGGTCGGCACGCAAGACCCGCACCATGCCCGCACGCACGCGTAAGCACGGGCCTCCCAGGCCCGGCCAGGCCCGGCCAGGCCCTGCAGGACACCATGCCGCCTTCAATCGCGGATAGCTGCTGAATAATGCAGATGCGAAAAGGGAAAAGGGACAGCGAAAGTAGTCGTAGCCGCAGTGGGGTCACACACTCCCTTATTCTAGTCCGCCTCTCACTCCCGGTTTTCCCTTGCTTCGTCTGGGTCTGCCCGCTGCACTGTTGCAAAGGTCGCGGCGTACTTAAATTATAATCGCGCGCCATATACGGCGGCTGTAAAAATTATCAGCTCAAGGGCGGAAAACGCAGAGCTGGAAAATATAAACAATACAATGAAACGTTATTTTCTTCGGAAAAGTAACTCTTTTCATTCCTGGAAAGCAAGGCCGGGATTTAATAAAACGGTCTTCTTGGCTACGTGGCGCTGTCGGCGTGTTGTCGCGGATGGTCTTGTCCGCTGCTCCTCTGCCGGTCCCTGGAGCTTCCAGCCTCCAGCGCGGCTCCGGCGTGCCTCCAGCGCCCGGGCCGCAGTCCGAGGGACGGCAGCAACGGTCCTTCGTGCTCCGCAACACGTAAACGCCATCGCTCTGCCCCTGCCCCCACCCCTCCCCTTCCAGCCACGTACCACCTGGAGAATATCAGTGCCGCGCGCCGCCACTCCGAAGGGGAGATGAACCGAGCGGCCGTCAGCGCAGTGCAGCGTAAATAGGGGCCGGCACGCCACCGGAAGGAAGGAAGGAGTCCGGAGAAACGAAACCGGAAGCGGAAGGACCGCACCGAAAGCAGCCGAAAGGGGGCAACAACGTACAAAAATGCAACGACGTACGACTACGTAGAAACTTGCAGTGAGGCGTTCAAGACTCACTGTCAGAGGGCAGTGATTTCTGGCCCATACAGTCTGCAATTCAATACTGAAGTGCCACCTGTTGGGACACAGCCACGCGTCAAAATTCAAAGAAGCTGCTCAAAAAAGTTTAAAAATTGAAAAAAGAATCCTTGTGCCTGGCAGTGAGGCCTCGCGAAAGGCCATCAGGCGCTTCATGGCCCGTTCCAGCCACAGTCCAATCAGAGTCAAGGAGCCGAGAGTGCGACTGCCAGTCGGGCCGAGTCGGGCTGCAGGTGGGCGGCTTTATCACTGCGAACGAGGGCAACCCCCACCCCCACCCCCACCCCCACCCCCACCCCCACCCCACTGTCATCGGTCTGGACCCTCGGGCCACGAGGCAGTGCAGCACCAGCGCCGCCTGTTTGATCCTCGTTGTTTTCTCCCCCAATTAATATCGACTCTGCGGAAAACAGTGTACCGCCGTCTGCATAAGACGCGCCGGCCGGCCGGCCAGACGGTCTCGGACTCGAAATCGGTAATTGGATCAATATCGGTCTTCGTGCATGCACCGCAGTGCGCCACACGCACGGGGCGGGAGAGTGTGACATCGCATTGACTCGATTACCTTCCCATGCGCGCATGGCGAAGCGAGAATTAAAAACGAGGAGGGCCTACACCACAGGCAAGCGTGTGCTGCTTGCACTCGCGAGGGAAAAAACGCGTCCAAACAGAACCAAGAGTTTATTCCATTGGGGGTCCACTGGGGATTGAACCGCGGTTTCAAAAACTGTAAACTTGGCTGTATTCGTTTGGCTCGCTTCATGCGGTGAATTGGTGGAACTTGGCGGTGTAGCGCCGTGCCGTGGCCGCCTCCTTGGGCACGCATTATCGAGTGGATTCGGCCGCCCCGCTCATCGACGCGTCCAATATTTAGAGCGGCCGACCGTGCGGTGTCCGGTACAGTCCCGGCCAGCACGGTGCGGGGTACAGTCCGCTCGGTGCAGTCCGCCCCAGCACACAGTGGGCCAGAAGACCGGTGAGGCGGCCAAAACTCTAGACGCGTTTTGAGCTCCAGAGTCGCTAAATGAGATTCGAACCGAACGTGTAACCCCATCAATGGACTGCTCTCCGAACGAGGAATCCATTGGTGGGGTCACACGTCCGGTTTGAGTCTCATTTAGCGACTCTGGAGCTCGAAACGCGCCTAGAGTTTTGGCCGCCTCACCGGTCTTCTGGCCCACTGTGCAGCAGCCAGCTACCCGGCCCGGCCAGATTAGCGCGGGGAAAATCTTGACGGAGACGTTGGGCAATAAGGCGGAGGGTCAAGGCACCCCGTCTGATTCTTTTATGAGTCGGGCGGGCGGGGCGGGGGGGGGGGGTGGGGCGGGGCGGGGCGGGGCGGGGCGGGGCGGGGCACGGAGCCGGGGAGGTGCAGGTCGCATGTCGGCACGCGGGCCACGCACGGGGCGGGGCGGGCGGGGCACAGGATGCGGCCCGGCGAGGATTTGGCGAGAGGTCGCGGGAAATGTACCCTCGGGCCGTAGCCTGGGCGTAGCCTGGGCGTTGGCTGCCTAGCTTGCCTGGGTTCGGGATTTGGGAGCCGGGAATTGAATCCGTGTGGCGCAGCACCGGAGAAACGTGATGGCTGACGCTGCGCGTTTGTCCGTCCGTCTGTCCGTCCGCCTGCCAGTGTGTCGGTCCGCTCGGCTACTGTCGCTGTAAACGAAGGCCGCCCGTGAATCTTTTGATAAACCAACCTGTCTGCTACCCGTTCCGTTTCTTCTGTCGGTTTCGTCTGTATGTCTAGTCAGTATGTCTGTTTGTCCGTCTGTTTGGCTGTTTGAAATTTTTCAGTTTCGTCATCTTTGCTCTGTCTGTCTGTCTGTCTGTCTGTCTGTCTGTCTGTCTGTCTGTCTGTCTGTCTGTCTGTCTGTCTGTCTGTCCGTCTGTCTGTCTGTCTGTCTGTCTGTCCGTCTGTCCGTCTGCCGGCTGTCCAACCGGCGCCGCATTTTCGGCACCGCGATGCAGCAGCCTTTCATTTCGTTTCCTCCGCGCGGCGCCGAAAGGCCAAAAGGCCAAAAGGCCAAGAGGCGCACCAAAAGGGCCCAAAGGCCGAAAGCTTTTCGCTGCCCGCATTCCCCTTTGGCTGCTTTGGCTGCTTTTGCTCCGGATCCCCAAACTAAGTTTGCAAATGGCGGCGCGTTGTCCTCTGGCATGCCGGAGCCGCCTCGTGGCCGGTAGACGGCGAGTCGTTGTTTCGCCATGTAAATGTGCCAGTGTGCCACACACACACCCTCGTTTCCACTCGGCCGCACTTTGCGTTTATGTATTCCGAAACGTCACATTTTTTGACGTGACACGCCAAGTGACTCTCCCCGTGCGATTCTCTCCCGCCGCCATCAGCGCGGCCGGACACCGGCAAAGCATTTCGCATTGACTGTTATTTCAATATTTTTTTTAAAGAATTCTGTGTTCTCTTGCGGTTGAGATTTTGCAGCGTGCTTTCGTGCCCGCCGCATGCCAGACCGACGGAATGCTCTGGCCACCCGAGGAACGCCACAGCATCGTGGTGGCCTGGGTGGTGGCCCGGGCGGTGGCGTGGCCTATGCTTGCTGGGCTGCGTGATGGCCTTCCCGGCGGCCTGGGTGGCAGGGGCGGCGCGTCGCGGTGGCTCAGCCGCAGCAGACAACTGGACACGTCCTGATGAGACCTGACACACGCCTCCACCACTACGCCCGAAATCCCAGCACGCACACAGCACCCCCTGCATTACGCCGGCCGACACCCCTGTCAGTGTGTGCGCGTGTGTGTGTGCGTTGGTGTTTTTGCGCGTCGGTGTGGGTGAGTGATGAAAAGAATTCCAACAATTAGGGTTACCCCAGTGAGGGCGCGGGAGAGAGGAAGAGAGAGAAAGGCCGACAGAGTGGGTGGTGCGGAGGGCGTTTGTGTTGCTGCATGCGATAGATTCATAGATATTTTTTCCTTCTTTTGGCGCGAGGGCGGAATGTCGCCGAATTTGCATGCAGGCGCGCTCTGACGAGGAAAGTGTTTCTGAAATGGACAGAACGTGGTCGGAATGATTGAACTGTGTGACAGGCGGACTTATGGAACGGAAGGAAATCCTTCTTTTTTTCGTAATTATTTTTAGATTTAATTACTGTCAAAAAATGCGTTTTCTCTTGCTTGTTGATAGAATTAGAGGGCATCCCGCCCACCAAACCTCTGGTTCTCGCCAGAATTTCAGAATCCCACACAGAAAGAAATGGAATTTTTCCAACCGTCTTGAGATTTAGCTATCAGTAGTATGGGTGGTCTGTTCAACCGCCCGCCATCTTGGTGATCCTCATTTTTTTTTTTCAAACTTCTAACTCATGTGTGAACGATGCCGACTGAAGGTCCCTTTCCGCCATCACGCCCTTGTATTCCATAATGATCGCCCTGTACTCTGGCGGCATCCCACTCCGCCGCTGCCGCCGCTGCTACACTGCTAGGTAGCGGCGCGGCATCGACAGAGCAGCAAGTAACAGCTTACCCTGTTGGAGTCAATCATCGGCGGCCAACGTGGTCTGGACGTGCAGCAATGCAGTTGGGCCGTCGGCGGGGCGGGGCGGGGCGGGGCGGGGCGGGCGGGGCGGGGCGGGGCGGGGCGGGCGGGGCGGGGCGGGGCGGGGCCGCGGCAATGCGATGTAGCCATTAGCCGACCGCACTGCCCGGCCGGACTGGCCGGACTGGGACTGGCCGTCGGGCACCGTCAGGCCGACGGCAGGGTGCCGCGCGGGACCACAGCACGCAGTCCGAAGTGCACCGCAGCATTCTGAACGCCGCTTCGTCGCGCTGTCTGTCTCGCACTGCTAGGGAACGCCCCGCGAGTGCGAGAGGGAC